TTCTGTATCGTCACTCATTGTAAAAGATTTATCATCTGCTGCCTGTACATTGTATATAGTTGTAAAACAAAAACGCTGATCAGATTAAATAAAATCCACATAAAAGATTAGTTGGAAAGTATGTATGCATATATGTACAAGAGAAATCTTCCAAAGGATGTGATGGAGCTTTCATTTGATTTATATATAGTAATGTTTGAGACATTAGATGTCATGTCCTAGCATCATGGATGGGAGGTTTGGTTTCTGTGGATGGTGGCTTAATAACCTGGATATAACACATTCCCTCTGAATGATGCACCGTACTACTGAGGAGCAGCAACATGCCTTTTGCTTCTCCTGGTCCTTAAACGCGTCATGGCTCCATTACCTGTTGCAGAGTGGCTCTCTTTCCAAGATGCATCAGTTTAGGTTGGCCTTACATGCACCATTGATCTCCTCTTCAACTGTTTGTATTGTTTTTAGCTAGATTTTAGTTTTGGTGTGTTCTCTCTTCATGAGTAAGCAAGGACACTTTTAACTGCCATACCTGCTTTTTTTTGTGTCACCCCATGGCAAGACAGTTTATTTTTAATCAGCACGGTTCGGTGATCATTTAAGATCCAAAATTACGTGAAAGCTCAGCTGTTTTGTAATACAGTTCTTCTTTTAGAGCCTTTTTTATGGTTTTCTTTAATCTGCTTCTGTTTAATGGAGGCAAACCAGCTGAAGCGTGTGATCACAAGAGGCAAAATGAAATGCTGGCAGGATGAGAAAGGGGGTCTTATACACCTATTCCTGAATGTTTTGTTTTTTTTGTGTGTGTGAGAGTGAGCTTATTGAAACTATGTACCCTCGTTAATCAAATCAGTTTTTTCTATTAAGCTGTTAAAATTTTACAAATAGAAGTGAGCCCAGCGTTAATGCTGTTGACACTATAACTGAGGAAGGAAACGACCACCTGTCGGTGTGGTCAGGTATATATATGTGTGCGTTTTGTGTGTGTATCAGATTATCTTTGAGAGAGTGTGATGGTGTGATATCTGTCTTTTATCTGCCTAGGACGCAATTCTTTGGCTGCAATCTCGACCCTCAGCTTCTGAGCTGCATGTGAAGAACTGTAAATAAGGTTGTTTCTACTTTGGACAAGAAAAGTTTTTTTTTGCAAATGCAAGAAAAGTTTAAAACTGTTATGGGACAGCACGAATGTGCAATTAGAAATCATCATGAGCTTAGGACTTGTTACTGTCATTTCGGTTTTTGCTTGGTTTTAAGTGCAAAGAAAATGCAAAGCCATTATCTGCATCCCTTGGGTGTTTTTGTTCTTTCTTTCATTGGGATGAAATCGCTTTGTAAAGGGCTTGGAAGAGCATCCAAATGAGCATCATGGTCCATATGTTTATTTTTAAAGATAGGAAAGAAAAACTGCATTCACTCTGAAAACATGGCCTGTAACACCCTTCTTCATTGAAAAGCGACCAGACAAAGAAAGCAAAGCAAGTCAGATTTTCTTATCTTTTTGTTGGTGGGGAGGAGAGAAACCTCACGGTTCCTAGTCAGCTTTTCTTTTTTTCCCCCCAGTTCTATGGCTTCAAGGAGAGAATGTCAGACTGAAAATATGAAATGATCTTTAAAGATGAGAAGTTGTAAACTATTAAATGGATTATTTTCAATTTATGCTGTGTATTCTTGTCTTTGGGTTGGAGATGATGATCAAGCAAATTTAAAAAAAGTGAAATAAAAATCAAGTTAAAGATATGGAAATGTGTACTGTGTCTGCTCTGCTAACCAACATTTGGGTTTTTGTTTGTTCAGGATTAAAGTTTAATGCTTCCAGAAGGTGTTAAGGAACTATATTTAAAGACACTTTCTGGAACTAAATTTTCCTGTTAAATTATCCATAGGTCTAAGATGGTTCTAAGTGCAATAGGGCCTACTGGCAGCTGTCTTGAATGACTTTGTTAACATAGGTTCATAAACTACTCACAATATTTTCTTTTGTCTGCCACTGCTATAGCAACCAAGAAAATATTTTTGCTGACTCCACTCACTAATGAGTCTGTATCTTAAACTGCTGTTTTCTTTTTCCCTTTCCTGGCCTATCATTAACTATAAGCTGGCTCATTTGAATATAAATTAGCATTCCTGAAGTCATTTGCAATGTCCATTTAGGGGAACATGTGGGCGGGTCATGAGGTAAATGGTTGTACTGTATCCACAGCATTAAAGATCTCCAGTGTTTGCTCATTCTGACCAAGGCCTACTAAATGCCTAGGCATACAAAATTTTGATACAAAACAACTGGATTTGCAGATTAATACTTGTTTATTACAAATTGTGAACTGAAAGTAGGTTACTTATCATTTTACTGCTTCCCTGTTGTTTTTCTCTGGGAATGCTCCCTTAAAACTTATTTTATTGCAGCTTTTATCAGCCTTTAGCATAAATGTATCAAATCTTCCTTGTTTAAGGTGGACTGCAACAGTATCTTATTTACGGTAACAGAATTATTACACAGGGTTATTGCACAGGGCATTAAATGGGTATTTATACATGTAGTTTTTGCACAGGGTATTAAATAGGTATCTGTATATATAGGTATTTATATATGCAGTTATTGCATTGGTATTAAATGTAAACAGGTTATTGCACAGGCTATTAAATAGTAATAGCAAAGTAGTTAATGCACAAGTTATTGCAGTTATAGTGCTGCATTGTAAAGTCTGATGATAATTGATGATAAACGAACTGCAATAGCGCTTCATCTTACAAACAGGGTGTATTAGTACATTTATAAATACATCAACAATCTAATGTATGGACTTTTCGCTTTAACAAGATGGCAGGTAGCACCAGAGGCGTAGCCAGAAAATATTTACTAGGGCGGTCAGGCAATAACCAGTGTACACTGAGGGTAGGCACCAGAACCTCATGGTCAATCTACAATGTTCCAACAGGAAAATTAGCGAGCAAAACATCCATATTTTCTAAATAAAGACAAACTATACTTTCCCACAGCCTTTGCTAGCAAATAGACGCATATATTTAAACATTTGTGCTTTCTAGATCAAAGGGTATAGTGGATTAAATCCCGGTTTGAGTTCTGGGGCGAACATCTTTTCCATTGTCTTTACATTCTGGATAAAATTTATATTTACAATTACTAATGTCTACATAAATTGATTATTTAAGAAGTTTTTATTAAAATAGTTATTTATCTATGTTTTTACTGACGACTACTAGATGACTTGCAGAGACACATCATTTTCTCTTTACCCCATAAAACAAAATGTAGTTATGGAAAGAGCATGGATTCTGTATTTATCTTTAATGTTATTAAATGTTTTGAATATTCCACTTGAGAGTATTACCGCTGCCACTGTCTGTATTAGAGGAAAAAAAAATGGTAGGGGAGGCCAATGGCGTAACTATCGGTAAGCAGAGACTACAGTTCCTTAGGGGACCCCGACCTCTTAGGGGCCCATCACTGATACCTGGTTGGCCCCCTACGCAATTGTGGACTAGGACGTCTCTTTGCAGATGGAATGGTGTGAAAAATTCCTCTTGAACACCACTGATACTGCTTTGACTGACCGGACCCTATTTATACTCCAACTCATGGCAGATTTCAACATGATGGTGAGTCATTTAAACACGACACCAATAGCAAACCAGAAAGTGGTACTTTTAATTACTATGTTATTAACTGTGTATAGTTCATTAGACGGTTGGTCAAAAAAAATGCACTCATATAATATGTTTCAAACCGCAATAAAGATCTTAAAAGAATGATGTATTTGAGTATTTTATTTTTTACAGTACAACTTGGAATTATGGAAGCTGGAAGAACGGAAAAAACTTTTCCAAAACAAACAGGTTCTTTCAAAGAACCAAAGAGGGAGAGGAGGACGCTGCTGCTGCAGTGAGTGAAGAGAGAGCGTGGGTGAGGAGGGGGGCTGTGAAACTCAAGGCAGCCCGATAACATTCATCTTACAGCAGAATATTTACAGCAGTATATCCATGACTGGTGAAGATATCATTTCAGGTAAGAAATAATGATGAAATGATTAAGTGTGTATGTATGGGTAAATTTGGTAAATGGCATGTACTTATATAGCACTTTTTTTCAAGTCAGGAGACTCGACCAAAGCACTTTACACTACATTCAGTCATTCACACACACACGGTGGCAAGCTACATTGTAGCCACAGCTGCCCTGGGGCTCAATGACAGAAGCAGGGCTACCGTACACCGGTCCCTCTGACCACCATCAGTAGACAATGCAGGTGAAGTGTCTTGCTGAAGGGCACAATGACACTGAAAGCCGGAGCCGGGGCTTGAACCGTCAATCCTTCAATTTTAGGGGCAAACTCCTACATCCGACGCCACTGTCACCACATTTGAGGTCTCCAGCGGCGGTGGGGGTGGGTGTAGGGGGGGGATTGGGTCCCAGATAATGTTGCTTATTGTTGTGTCGTTCCGCCATTGGGTGTGGCCAATGATTGGCTAAGTGTGGCAAGGGCCACCCCTGGCCCCCCATTTAGCTCCGCCCCTGGGTAGGACCGCATTTGTGCTGGTTTTGATATCTGAGACCCACTGTAGTTTTAAATAATTATTTTGTTTTGGTTATGTAAAAACTTTGGTCTAATTTGAAAGTATTTACATGTTTTTTTTTGACAAATTAGATCAAATTAAATTTTTGCCTTAATAAGAAATTTTAATATAATATTTATAAATACAGTTTACGTTTAATGCGGGCTTAATGTTTCTGTAATTATAATTGGAGAAAGCCATTATGTGACAGTGGAAGCCTCTCCCTCAGACAGGAGCAGTGAGAGTTAAAGCAGCGCGTGAACCCGCCCCTCTGATGTTTATTGATCAGGCCTGGCTGACAGCGCTCACATCAGTCAGGATATGGCGGCGCAGCACCGACGCACGATGATTTCTCTCTCTGTGGGAATTTACCAGCCGTGCTCCGGGGACGCTCCTTCCTTCTGAGGCTGCTAATAAGCAGAGCATACATGGCGACGGAGGAGGAGGATAGCAGCGCAGCGCTCCCTGCGACCGACACCAAGAAAGCAGGAGATAACGGGGCTTGTATTGACAGGCAGCCGGACACGGTGGTCCATCAGGCGGGGCTGAGTCGGACCCGCAGCGGTCCCGGAGCTCACTCTGTGACGGGGATCCGAGTGCTGAAGGCAGGTCATAACGGGAGGGTTTACAGTGGGGGTTATTCAGGCTGAATGATTGGAGGATCAGTGAAACAGGGCAAAGTGCAGGATTTTAAATGCATGCTTGCAGCGTTATGTAACACCGGTCATTATTAGTGCTGGTTGATCAGAGAGGAGATCAACAAAACCAATTAATACCAACAAACCTCACAGTGTTTGGGTGTTTTACATGAAGGCCTTTCCAGTTTCCAGATGATTTTAAAGCACAAAAATCAAATAGAAAATGTCTGGTGAATAGCTGTGTGTTATTTTATACAAGGCTTCCTGTTAAAATGCAATACATCAAATGGAAATGTTAACTATAATAAGCAAAAAATATATATGTTGTCATATGTTTTTTCAATAGGCATTATTACAGTCTGCACACAAACATGTAGGCTGTCTGAACTTTAACCCTCAACCATCCATAGTGCACAGTCATAGTTTCTTGCAATGTTCATATTAGGATGAACCAACTTCTGCTGACTTGCAACCAAAGATGTCTGGAATGAAACATTTTCTTTTCTAGTTTTCATTTTTGTGTGTGTCTTTGATTCCCCTTCATGAAAAGGCACTCTGGGCAAGGAGCCCAGTTTTTGAAAGTAAAAAGAAATGACTACTGCTTCCAATATCTAACTCTCTTAGCTTCTTTTCATGGATAAAACAGAGGTTAGTGTCTCAGCTGATAACAACACAAGATGATTTCATTTGGACAACTTTAACATATTTTTTCAATGGTTAATGCAAAAAAAAAACTATTTTTTTGAGCTTTTAAAACTGCTCTCAGTTTTGTGTTGAATTGTTATGGAAAAGGAAGAATGACTATAAACAAAATTCTATGTTCATATTCATTACCATTTAATGCAGTTATATGAAACTAGAAAGCATTGATCTAATGTGAATGTGGCTCCATGTCAGGAAGTTTTTAATAATGCCTATTAAAAAAAAAACATATAAGTAATTAGTTAGTATTTCCACAAACTATTGGATCAGTGTGTGGAATGAAATAGCTTTAATAAAGCAGAAGTTACTTCTATATCATTTTAATTAATTCATCTAAAATGTATTCAGTGCAGGCCCAAAAAATAAAACATAAAAATCGGAATAATCTGACCAACCTTTCAAATTAACCTGTCTGATTCTGTTCTCATCAATTTTTTTTTATTTTTTCTTTAAAATATAGGCAGAAGATGTTTAACTTGTAAAGCCTGGAAACATAATCATAGTGACACAAATAATTTGCTATATATGATAAGAATATGTTACAAACCATAATAAGGTTAAATATTAGTTCTTGTTATAGGAGTTTTATTATCTAAGCAGCCTATTGCCTATTATTACAACTGCTTGGTCATCTATATCTTGAAAAAAAAAGTCTAACAACTCCATGATTAAAAGCAATTGTAATATGTTTAATGTTTTCATCACAAAATATATTTACTTAATAATTAACCTAAAGTTAAGTTTTATTTGTATAGATTGTTTATTGTGATTTCATGCAGAAAAGTTTTTTTTTCTCTTTCCTCTACCTGTTCATTTAAAATTATATGCTTATGAAAATCCAGACAAAAATAGTATTTAGCTCGTTTGGAAGATTTTATTGTACTTGTAAATTTTGAACCACCTTCATACTTTTGTGTGATGTGATTTGAAAACACCTCAATCTTTCTGCAGCGCAATATGAAGCGTAATGGGAGCCGAAGCTGCGTGACGAGAAAAAACAGATTTGGTTCACGAGAGAGAGACTGGCTAAAGGGGGACACCCAACGAGGCTGTGTGTGTCTTTATGGCGGTACAGTAGACCCCCAGCCACCTGCCTCCGGCACACAGGCCTCCTCCACTCCTCAGACAGACCTGCAGTTGGTGCTCTGCTCCACCAGCACCACCGTGGAAGAACTCTGCGCTCAAAGAAACGGACAGGGACTCTATGTTCAGCTGCACGGAGACCTTGTCAGGTGAATGCACTGTACGGTACATAAAGTGATGAACGTAAATACAGGAAATAATCAAGCCTATAACTTAGGGTGGGGGTTCTTCCTAGAAATGTCCAAATAACTCACAATAAACAATATCCACAACTGACAGAATAAAGAACCAGAAGTAGAAAAATCTTTAGTGGATCTACTGCACACAAAATCCTTCCTCACTCTTGAAATTCAATCGGAGCTTAACAGGAAATCTTTTATAATATTAGAGAAACAAAAATATTTTAATGGATAAAAAAAACCTTGTGTCTCATCTGTGCAACAAAACTGTAAGTGAAATGTGAGATGCATTGCAGTGCCTCTCAGGGAAATGCATCTCTTCCATTTGAGACACAGCTGCTATATGTATAATAATGCATTAATGTCTAGGCAAGGCAGATGAATTATTGGTTAAATTAGCAGAATGTCACACAGGCCTAAATTGATGCAAAGAGTAGAGAACTGTCCATGTCTTTTGATCTTATACTCCCACACAACACCTTATCCATTTTACCCTTCAGGTACATAACACTCCGTTCAGCTACACAGCAGGCAGACTAGAAGCAGCAAATGACCCTCTGACTGTCTGGTTCACTGATCCATAACCAGGAAGGAATTTGTTCTTTCGCTCTTTCTTTGAACAACCAAAGTGGAAATATGATATATTAGAAAACATGCACTCAGTTTTAGTTTAAATCTCAGTACCTTATCTTGTGTGAGGTGCAACAGTTTGCTCAGTTCACCCATGAGCTAAAATCAAAATCTTATGGTCAGTCATTTTTGAGTAACTACTAAAATATTGTTATGCTGCATCCTCTATATTTGTTTGCATCCCCACTAAATACGTCCTAAAGGCTTTTATTGTTCCTTTACAGTTGAAATAAGTATTAAAGACCAGATCAACTTTCCAAGACTTTATTATTGCTCTCTGCATATCTTATTTTGAAGGTCTGGAAACCAGAGGAAAGTCAGCTCAGATTAAAAATTTATAATTTTTTTTTTTTTTAAATTTAAAATTTATAATTTGATCAATTATCCAAGAGGTCTACTTCTAGGTTACGTCAGTCGAAAATATATAACTTAAATGAACCCTGAGTCATTTTATTTGAAATTATACCTTAAAACTACCTCTTGGGTAAAATCTGGGTTCTATCTATCCTAAATTATGTCAGTATTATCTCACTTCATTCATCCAGTATGCTAGTGAATAAATCAGCACTACTTCCAGCAATCTGTCATTCATTTCTCGTTTTAACCAGTAAGTAGTGCATTGGCCTACTTGCAAGAACAGTTGCAGTGTCCAAGTCAGCCACTAGGGGTTAAGGTTTACACTGCAAAAACAATCTTGAAATAGATAAAAATTTCTTAAAATTTACCCTTAATTTGAGCAGGTAAATAAGTTAATTTGCCAATAGAATGAGTATTTTTACTCTTAAAATAAGATAATTAGATAATATGCACTTGCTATAGTCAATACAATATTTTTTTCTTATTTTAGATGTGAATTGTCTAGTTCATTTGGCAAAGTGTCTCCCTTACCTCTTCGTTAAAAAAAAATGCACTTAAATAAGAAAAATGGCTTATTTAGATTTCAGTTTTTTGCTGTGGAGAGGGTCTTAAGGTACAAAATCACACAAATCACATAAATACAAGAGTTCTTTTCTTGCTAAAAGACCCAGTGATAAATTTTTTTCACTTATGTAGCAGAGGCCACCAGTCTTTTATTTGAAATGTCATGATAGTTTACCAAGTTCACCATACTATCCACTATAGTAAGAGCTCCATAGTAGATGCAGAGAAAAACGGGCCCACAGCTTCATACATCATGTAGTTCTCTATATATTCACCACCTGGAATTGTTTTAAACAGAAAGATAAATCTTTGTCTTATAGAACGCTCAGTTCCATATAAAGTCCCAGCAGCGTTTTCTTTTGAAAATCAAAAAATGTAATATTTGTCATAGTCTAATTGTTGTCATGAAAACTTGACCAAAACAACACTATTATCTGTTTTTCTCACACTTGAATTAGAATTTTTTTTATTTGACCTTTGTTACCACTCACCTCTCGCTCTGTGGTGAGATACTATACGTTGGTCCACATCAGACCTTCTATGTCACATACGTTTTAGTTATTCCAAACCTAATAATCATTGCTCTGTAGAGTTAAGTATTTCTTGATGCTGCATTTTTTTTTTCACTCAGAGAACAAATTCACAGCAATGAAGGGTTGAACTTTTCTAGAATTCTCTGTGTAAAGTTATGCTATCAGCATAAAACGTTGCTTTATGCTGCTAAAGCTTTTTTATAGCAGAGGAGTCAATAAGGGTGCTATATAATATGTTTATAGATATGAAATGAGCTTGGGTGTGTAGGGAAGAGTTATTGACTGAGGACATTTTGTAGATATGAAGTTAAGAACGTGGCTTAAAGCTCGTAACAATTATGTAGGTCTAAAATCTTTGATATTGCACAAAGCAATGTACTAATATATTAAAACTTATTAGCTGATAGATGGAAGCATTTTGGTCAAGTATTTGAAACTTGGAACACTTTTAAATGTTCATTGTTCAATTAGTAATATTTAGATGAGAACATATTTTATTTTCCTTACAAACCTTTTGTGAGTTTTTAAGATAGTTTGCCAATAGTGTGGACTCATACTTTCCATTTTTGGGTTGAGTATCCCTGTCCTGGATAGTATCACATTCCAACAGTGTTATCAAGTCTGTCCGATGTTCGGTTTTCCCAGCAGCAGGCTTGTCCTCAAGGATCCATTAATGACTTTTTCAGGACAGACAGGGCATGGTAATCCTTACAACATGATGCGGTTATTCCTGGAGTTTCCTCCCAGCTGAAGCCATTCTTAGGAACCTGCCAATGGGAGACTCCCAGACATGTGGTTTCCCTGAAGATGAGTATGCAGGTTGATTTCATGGGCCTTTTAAATCACTTTACCTTTTACCTTTAATATAAACTCACTTGGCTCTCACAGCTCATCCAGTCATGAATTAAAAAACAACAACTTTTTTATGCATTTATTAGGGATTTATAGACCTGGGGGAAAAAATCAACAACTCGGAAAAACTTACTTTACGGACATAACGAAAATGCTGACATACCTTTCTTTAACCTACATATAAACTGAGCCTTAACCCTTGAAACACTTGTGTCAAACTCTGTTTAATCCATCATCTGAACATGGGAGGCCTGTGGCATAACTGCACACATTCACAGACATGGTCTTCTACTTAAACTGACAGAAAGGAAAAAGAGAGCTTTGATTAGAGAAGTTCTTTTGGCAATATCTATGAACAGTATTTCTGTTAGTTATATAATCTAGAAATCTGACTATGGATGAGTTCAATGAAGAACATTTTTTGTAGGTATGCTGATGAAGATTGTCAGTCATCCAGGTCATAGTTATTTTGTAAAAGTTTAAAAACAATCCACTGGACTTGGTTTCCAAGGTTTGAAGATGTTCAAACCTTGGAAACCAAGTCCAGTGGATTGTTTTTAAACTTTTATGGAACCAAGTCCAGTGGATTGTTTTTAAACTTTTACGGAACTTTTATGGGTACAGTAAAAAGGCATGAATAAATGGTAAATGGCATGTACTTATATAGCACCTTTATTCAAGTTAGGAGACTTGACCAAAGCGCTTTACACTACATTCATTCACCCATTCACACACACACTCACACACTGATGGTGGCAAGCTACATTGTAGGCACAGCTGCCCTGGGGCTCACTGACAGAAGCGGAGCTGCCGTACACTGGCGCCACCGGGCCCTCTGACCACCATCAGTAGACAATGCAGGTGAAGTGTCTTGCCCAAGGACACAACGACACTGAAAGTCAATGTGGGGGCTTGAACCGTCAACCCTTCGATTACAGGGCAAACTCCTCCATCCAACGCCACTGTCGCCCCAGTAAGTAAATTGGTTTGAAGTTTGCCCCAAGGCATTTGGGGACACAGTGAACATGGAAAATGTTGCTTTTATCAGGTGTCATTGTCCTCATATAAAGCCTGTAAAACCCTGCACACACTACTGCCACATTGCAAAAAGTTGATGGTTGAGAAATTGAGTCTACAGATGTGTTAAATATGTAAAGACATACCCCCGCAGAGACACACAGCTGTTTGGTTGGAACAGATTCTTCTACTAATGTATTGACTTGATATACTATGTTAAGCATGTTTTTTTAGCTGGAGAAAAGTATATATATTTTACTTTAAATTTAGAATCATGCAATACTTTGAGTTGGTTCACCATATAAAATTGCAATAAAAAGCAGCAGCCATTGTTTTTTAGGGTTAAATATTGCAAAGGTGCAGTAAATGTATGTATCCATAGAAGCAAACTAATACAATCTCGTGTGATAATTCAAAGGGGTTGCTCTTATTAAAACTAATTAATTGAACAATAAAGTCAAATTTTTTAAGTTAACTCCAGGGTTCCAAGTCAAGAGTGGTTATGTTACTCTCACACCCATTATTGATTGATTGACTTTATTGAGTCTCATTGTGAAGAAATTTACTCGTTACATTAGCTCAGATAGTCAAAGGAGAAGAAAGGTGCATGAGATATATACAGTATATAGAGTATGTCCACATTTTTTAATAGTAGGATCATTATACAGGGTTATTGTACAGGGTGTTTACATGGGTATTTATATAGATGGATATTTATATATATAGTTATTGCACTGGGGGACAAATATAGAGAAAGAGGACATTGCACAGGGTATCAAATAGTAATTGCACGTTATACATTTCACAAGTTATTGCCGTTTTAGTGTTGCATTGTATAATCTGCTTACAGCAGGGATGAATGACCTGAGGTAGCGCTCCATTACAGCTTTCACCATGGCAAAAACAATCTCTCTGAACAAGTATTAGTAACTCCACAGTCATGGATAAGAGAACCTCTTAGAAGATTGCAAGTACCCGATTCGATCCCCACAGCCTACACTCTGGGTCCACGAGCAAGACCTTTAACCCCTGATTGCACCGCACACTGGCTGCCTACTGCTCCCCATGGGGATGGGTTAAGATGCAGAAGGGAATATCTGCATTGTGAGATCAATAAAGTTTCATTATTATTATTTTTAATAAAGTCCAAAGAGACCGTTGAGTGAGTTTTGTTTTTAAAATGTGTAGTCAGTTTCTCCTTTAGATGTTGTTTTTATTGTTGTGACTCCACAAACACAGCTGCATTATTTGTCCTACAGGAGGCTGGACCACCTTGAGCGTCCCCTCCAGATGGTTTATGACTACCTGACGACAATGGGTTATACCGACCCAGTGCGAGTGCAGCATGAAGCGGCCAACTCGGACCTCAGCTGCATGATCCGTTTCTACAGCGGTGAGTTCTCAGGCAGAAATAAACTTTCTTTATATCCTTTGGTCTTCTCTAAGATTTGGAGTCTCATTTATAACATTGTGTAGAATCATACCACAAGTGTATGTATGTCAAACCTGAAAACACCTGAAAATGAAGAACGCCTAACAAAAAAAATATATTCCAAAATATATAAGTATAAATTTTCCTTTTTAGATCACAGTCGTACATCAAAACTTTACCTAATGATCCTCTTCAGTCACACTCAACCATAAATGGACCATCCAAAGCACCGCATGAATGTCGTTCAATGAGCCAGCTCATCAATGTTATTTAGTGGTTACCACAGCAACCATAGCCAAGAGAGTGAAAAAAGTGCAATTTAGCTGAGGCAGAAATAAATGTGTTGGTGAGTGATGTGGAGAGTCAGATAAATATGTTTGGTAGCCAAAACAAATAAAAGGCAGTATTATTAATGACATCTTCAGTGTGTTCTATTGGCTGATCATATTAAAACAAGGACATTTTGCTTATTGCTGGCTGTGATATTTCAGGTTTATGGATCATTTCATAGAACTACACTATATTGCCAAAAGTATTTGCTCACCTGCCTTGACTCACATATGAGCTTAAGTGACATCCCGTTCCTAATCCATAGGGTTCAATATGACGTCGGTCCACCCTTTGCAGCTAGAACAGCTTCAACTCTTCTGGGAAGGCTGTCCACAAGGTTTAGGAGTGTGTTTATGGGAATTTTTGACCATTCTTCCAGAAGCGCATTTGTGAGGTCGCACACTGATGTTGGACGAGAAGGCCTGGCTCTCAGTCTCCGCTCTAATTCATCCCAAAGGTGTTCTATCGGGTTGAGGTCAGGACTCTGTGCAGGCCAGTCAAGTTCATCCACACCAGACTCTGTCATCCATGTCTTTATGGACCTTGCTTTGTGCACTGGTGCACAGTCATGTTGGAAGAGGAAGGGGCCAGCTCCAAACTGTTCCCACAAAGTTGGGAGCATGGAATTGTCCAAAATGTCTTGGTATGCTGAAGCATTCAGAGTTCCTTTCACTGGAACTAAGGGGCCAAGCCCAGCTCCTGAAAAACAACCCCACACCATAATCCCCCCTCCACCAAACTTTACACTTGGCACAATGCAGTCAGACAAGTACCGTTCTCCTGGCAACCGCCAAACCCAGACCCGTCCATCAGATTGCCAGATGGAGAAGCGCGATTCGTCACTCCAGAGAACGCGTCTCCACTGCTCTAGAGTCCAGTGGCGGCGTGCTTTACACCACCGCATCCGACGCTTTGCATTGCACTTGGTGATGTATGGCTTGGATGCAGCTGCTCGACCATGGAAACCCATTCCATGAAGCTCTCTGCGCACTGTTCTTGAGCTAATCTGAAGGCCACATGAAGTTTGGAGGTCTGTAGTGATTGACTCTGCAGAAAGTTGGCGACCTCTTCGCACTATGCGCGTCAGCATCCGCTGACCCCGCTCCGTCAGTTTACGTGGCCTACCACTTCGTGGCTGAGTTGCTGTCGTTCCCAAACACTTCCATTTTCTTATAATACAGCTGACAGTTGACTGTGGAATATTTAGGAGCGAGGAAATTTCACGACTGGATTTGTTGCACAGGTGGCATCCTATCACAGTTCCACGCTGGAATTCACTGAGCTCCTGAGAGCGACCCATTCTTTCACAAATGTTTGTAAAAACAGTCTGCATGCCTAGGTGCTTGAATTTATACACCTGTGGCCATGGAAGTGATTGGAACACCTGATTCCAATAATTTGGATGGGTGAGCAAATACTTTTGGCAATATAGTGTATTTTGTACCCAAAAGGGGCTTCAGGGAGAGAGTTAATTCATACTAAATTATGTTAAACAGCTGTGGGGGAATTGGTGGTTAATAGCTGTAGGCTAATTGATTTAGAAGAAAAAGCCAAGACTCCTGGAAAGAACTCCAATTATTTATAAGCTCTAATATGGGAAAAATGGTCATGTTTTGGTTTTATCATTTTGTTTAGATATTTCCTATACTTCAATAACCCGACTGAGGCATTGACGCCTCTTCCGTTTTTCACTAATATTAACCATTTAAAGTAAAAAACATATAATTCAGGAATACATTTCCAAATCTATATGTACAGATTGTTTGTTATATTTGTGTCCCTTTAGAACCCTGCACCCAGCTGTCTTTCGTTTTTTTTTACATGCACTGGGGATGCACTGATCTACTTTTTAACCCTTGTGATTATGTGGGTTTTACTAAACTGAACCCTGTTAAGCACATTTAAGTGTTTACAATAATCCGTGTGAATTATTTCCACCTTGTTTCATTGATACATTCATCTGTGGGGTTACATACCCCAGTAGGAAAGGTGAGCTTCCATGACTGGGCTGAAACCGTAGCTCAACACACATATATAGACCTGAAAGTGCGCATGTGCAGAAAAAGATAGCTACTTAGGGACGAGCATGTAGTACGGCCTTACGTAAACATATCAGAATGATTGACAATTAGGAGGAACACTTATTTAGATGATCCACATGGAAAAAGAACATCCTCCACTATACATTTAAACTTTACTTTACTTTCCTGACCTGATGTCAATAGTGAGTGCTAACCATGAGTCATCACCATTATTGCAGCATCAGCAAATGGTTCATAATTTCTTAGGATTTGACAAGAGAGTAATTATACATTCAGTAGAATTTTTTTTAATGCCTTTAATGACCATCCCTAACCAATTGAACAACTCTACAATGTCAGCAACGTAAGACTTTGTTGTGAGTTTTTGTACACTTGCAAACAGTAAAATTTGAACACCAACTGATCCAAACCAAAATACCAGGGTCTGCTTTTGGTCCAGAACAAAGGACTTTTCTGGAGTGAATACACCCTAGAAAGTTAAATGTAAAATATTGTACTGATATGGAAAACACCCACTTATATCAGCACAGAGAAACAAGCTGACCTGGCAAAACCAGAAATGCAAAATAACATAATCTGGTAAAACCTGTTAGAATGTAATAAGCAAAAGGGAAATTTTTAAATGTGAATACATATGATGACTATAAACTTACACACAAAACCTTCGAAAGAAGTCAAACCATTGCGTTGAAAGACAGATCGACCAGTACAAAATAACCTATTTGATAGAATTCATTAAACTTTTATATTGATTGAGGTCATACTAATTTACTGCATGTATTTACTTTATATGTGTATTTAGAGACATTATAAATGTAACGAGTTATTAAAGGGCATGGTGAAGAAAATTTTACATGGAATAGCCGAAAAAACCTTAAAGCTAGTTTAGTAGACATTACACATCATCTGTTTCCTTTAACTCTATACTGAATATTTTGCAGGTACAGCTGTTAATTTCTATTTAAAAGATATATGTTTTTGATAAAAAGGCAGCTTCCTGTAATTCTAATAATTTCATTTTAATTTGGTAAAAAATAACTATATTGAAGTAATTATTCAAGCAATAACAAAGTCGATTTTTTTTCTCGTGAGCTGATTCAGTTTATTATGCCCATCCTCCTTGGCTCTCATGCAACTAGCACCTTCCTGTTATTTTCCTCCTGCCAATATGAGAACTGGTCACATTTGGCTACTGTGGGGCCACATTGGTCCAAGTTAAGTGAGACCCCCTTTGGAGACTCTTTGTCTGTATTTTTTATCTCATGGGAAAAACTTAAAGTATTAGGTGTGCAACTGGATTCAGACACTTAATGCCCAGCTAAGTTAAGGAGAAATATTATACTCAAACATAATTTGTAGTTTGCTATATTTATGTATAATTCACACTGTTTGTTCCCTAATACTCCTACCTCATCTCCGTGGCTTTACACATTTCTGAAACTAATCCTGTTGTCATCACTGTGAATTCACTGTAGTTTTTGCCATATGCAAGCACAAATTTGTGAGTTGTCATAAGCTTTCATGCTCAGATTGTGTATATAGTCATTTTTTAAATTTATTTTGACAAAATTATCAAGCATTAGCAGAGGCATCATTTGATCGAATGCTTTTTTGGTCTTGTGTACAATTATTAATGTCAGGCCAGTTATGATTTTACAATTTTCTAGCAGCAATGAAGAATTGCACTATTTACTTGCATGTTAGCATTTTGTTTATCAGTGCGCTCATGGCAGATATGATGGCTATGGGGAGAATACGCAGGCAAAAAAAGAAAGGAGCTTCTCTGATAGTGTGAACATCTTTGAAATAACTAAGGGAAATATTGCCAAGGCCAATTGACTTAATGAACTTAGATCCTCAACCACAGCAGAGTAACTTCTGGCTGTAAGCCGCGGCGGCCTACAAAGGTCAATGTTTTAATATCTGAAAGTAATGCTGTTTATCCTTTACATCATCTTTTAAGGCGGCCAGGCTGCACACAATTAAAAAATATATATTTTTAAATGTATGGTGGGCTTCTACTAGATTTCCATTTAAAATTAAATAAAAGAAAAGGGGAAAATGCTTGATTTGTCAGTATAACCTTTTTGAAAAACCATTTAAAAACATCTGTGTTTTTAACTTTAATTACATAAGTATTACAGTAAACTGTTGACCCAGTATGACAAATTAGATTTACATCAATTAATATACAATGAAACTCCTCTCCATTACAACTAATCTACTTGTTTGTTCATAAATAGGCCTTAAAATATTTATGATCTAAATATAACACTATATAGATACACTAATATTGGCTACTAACTACTTAATCACCAAGTAACTTTGAAGTTATCCCCATATGCATAGCTCCAAATAATGATTGAAACTGTTATAATACATTTTTCCGTATTCCAGATCATCATCGATTGATCCAGCTACTGATGTTAGACCTTTTGTTTCTATCTTCCTGCTTTTCTATACTGTCACAATCTATGTTTTATCTCCGTGTTATTCAAAGCAGTGTATTTTTCGATCACAACCTCTGTTATGACCAGAGTTTATTTTACCCATTTCTCAGTGTGTTATTATGCTGAATACTGGCTCTAA